CTCAATGAATTAGTGGTCTGATTTGGTATAAGGTACATTCACATGTTCCTGCACTTCACTGAAACAATCTTAGTGCCCATTCCCATCTCTTCACCACTCTAGGGCTCTGGAGTAGAAGTGTGAAATTTATTTATTTTTGAAATGTATACATTTAAAAGCAATGACTAGAATCTTGTTAATTTCATGTTATAAAAATAAGCAGTTGTGCATATGAACTTACTTCTGTTGCCAGAAGGCCATCATACTTTTCAGCTTACTATGGTCAGGGAAGAAGTAGCATATTCTGCAGTGGAATGGATGGTGCATGACATGATGAGAGGGAAAGTGCTGAATGATTGCCCTTAGGCGCATGGTTTTTCCAATAGGGTTTTGACCATTAATTCTGGAGAAGACTTCAAATTCTGGCTCAGCTTAAGATATACCTGTGTTTAGAAAACCCATAAGTACTTGTTAAACTCCATGTCTCAAAAAAAAAATGCTATTTTGCATGTATGTTTCACTTTCTCATTTAGATATCCACCATTCTCAGACTGCTTCTGCTGGGAATGCTTTTGATAGTTTCAATCTACCCTCTATTACCAGTTCTTCATCCTATCTTTAAAGTACACAGCAATGTAGATATTTCGGGGGTCACCGTTGACTGCATGTAGACTGCAGATAGAGAAAAGATTTGAAGTTATCTTTTGACTTTTATGGTCCTTTTTTATTAAAATGCTTAGCACCATAAATGTAGTAATAAGAAACTCATTTATCTTGACAAAAGTGCTGCTATAAACTATTCTGCAGCCATAAAATAACCTTTTAAATTATTGTTTCTGCTGGTATCAATAAATTCATACAAAGTGCTTAAAGGTCAGGCATTGCCAGAAAAATGTCTTTTCAGCTTGTTAATTAAATGTTCATAAGAATGTGCACCAGTTTGCTCTTTTGACAAATGGAGAGGGAGGAGGGAAAAGCCTTTTCTGAGAAATGGACAGCAGTGGCAGAATGGGGAGGGGATAGTATGGTCAGCTTGTGGGAAATAACTTTTGTCATGCAAGTTGTATATGGAACAAAAATGTGCGTACTTTTTCATGTATGCTACCAACCCTTTCCACAGTCAGTATGTATACAGCAGAAAAAAAATTGCAGCAAGAGACCACATACCAACAGTGACCGTCAGTCTCCTGATTTCTGCCTTTTAAATTCTATGTAACTTACAGCACAGGCAGAATATTGAAACTTAACTTTTCTGTTTAAGTGCTCTTCTGAAATTAGACATTTGTCAGTAGAAGTTCATTACTCTTCATTTATAGTTAAAAGCTGTCCCAGGCCCTTCCTTGTCTGACTTAGTTTTATTTATCTTGAAAGAATAACCGTATGTGAGGGTTCACCTTTAGGCTCCTTCCGTCGTTCTAATAAATCAGGAGATTTTTGTGATTTTGAAACAGGTGTGATGTTTATTGGAGTATTTAACAAATAACCGGTATCAATTAAATTGTTCCAACGATTCTCTCCTGACAATGGGTCAGTCAGGGGCTTCCATTGTTCAATGGAAATGGGTTTCCTTCACCCACATTCCATGGACCCGGCCAGTCTATAGATGTATTCGGGTCCATCGTCTGTCCTGCTTCTCCTTCCAGTAGGGGAACGGTGTCGTCATCTTGGTCATCCACCCACACAGAGCGTCTGGCCGGTGTGGGGGTCGCCCAGGATCCCCCCTGTATCCCTTCCTCCTCATCTCATCCACCCTCCATTGTAGCCTTTCTCTTCTTTCCCCCCCCCTCTACTTCTCTTTTTCCTCTCTCAGCCTCCTCCGCCACTCTCTTGCCTCGGCTTCTCCCCAATAAGAGGGTCTTGGGGGAACGTCTCTTCTTTTCCTGTAGTCCGCCTCCTCCTTAGGGACTCTCAATCTTTCCCATGCACCAGTCCAGGGGTCCTCCATCCAGACCCATTCCCAACTGGGTGGTATCTGTTCTTCCCCCTTCTTATATCTGCCATCCCCGCCTCTGTCTCCAACCTCTTCTTCCGCTCTACTCCTGCCGTTTTCTCCTGAGTCCCTTCAACCGTTAACTTTTGTAATTGTTCCTCTATTTCCCGAGTATGTGTTCCTCTGTTTTCTGTTCTCTTGGGATGTGAGATGGGTAGGGTCTGTATCTGTTTCTCAGCTGTCATTGGGAGGGATGAGAGGACTACTACTCTCGCCCCCCCACTTCACACTGTATTGGGTCTTTTCTGGTTCTTGATTGCATCCACAATTTTTCTGCCACAGGACAGCAGACTTCTTCCATATAGTCCTTGCTGAGGTGCTCAGTGGAGGGTCTCTTTTAGGTCAAACCATCACCTGGAGTTGTCTCTGCCAGGGTTTGTTGGACTTCTCTTGAATGCCTCCTTCATTTGCCTGCTCCGTCTATCCCTCCCTCCCACATGGTATTTTTCTTGTTACAGAAATATTTTTCTTTCAACAAAGGTAATATGATTTGGGTAAAGTTATTTCCATTTGCTTTGTTTGATAGCGCCTTCTGGCATCTTTTATCCTAAAGTCTCATATGTGATTATGTTTTTATTTGAATGTTTGATTTTAATTGTGTGATAGTTTTATTTTTTTACCCTGCTGTTCCTGTCTTTTGCTCTTGTGGCTTACATTAGCTTGACTTCCTTTGTACATCTTGTAGAATGTTGTCTTGAATAATAAATACACGGGCATAAAGGAAGAATATGAAAGCTTTAGACATGCCAACTCCCAGCCAAAAAAGTATATGTACAAATTCATATACACTTGCATACAAACTCACCTTTCTTAGCAGGCTACCACTTTCCCACATGTATGCCCCTTCAGGATGATTTTTTTTTCTTGTTTTCTTATTTCTCTGCATTATCATTGCACTGTTAGGCCATTGTGGAATTGCTGAGTAAGAATGGTACTGTAACAGTGTTTTAAAGTGAGAAATCAAGCATATTAGATGTATGGAGAAAAGGTGTCATGTCTAGTTATGTTGAGGTTTTTGATAGCTTTATCTTTTACTGGAAAAATCATGCTGGCATTTAGCTTTTAGAGTTATACTGTAGGCTCCTTCACTACCAGCATATGGTATGGCAGTGAATTAGGAATTCTGTCCTTTCATCTCAACTCTCTTGCTCTTTTGACCTACATATTGAACCTTCATAGCTTCCTCTGTAAAATGAAGTGAGTTAAGCTAACATGTTGCAGCAAAGTGCTTTGGAATTCTTATGGGAAAGCAACTCTGTATCTATACTCCCTGTTCTTCATGTTAATAATTTATTTAATGCTACTGGTATGCTGACAAATGATTTATTTTGAAAGAAATGTGAGATTCTAAATCCCAGCATGCAAAATAAATCTGGCTTGTCAAAAAAGAGAGAGAGAGAGAGAGGAAACGGGCAGCATAGTTTTTGTCTGGTAGTAGTCTTTGGGAGCATATCCCACAGATATGAGTGCACTAGTTATCCAAAATACAGGGTTTAATCAATTCATTTTTGAGAGGGGTCTCTAACTCTGAATCATGCCCTTTTCAAGTTCCATTTACTCCAGTGAGAGAAAAAGAGTTAGACAAGTGTTTAATTCATTCCAGTTCAAATCAGTGAGACATGTAACTGTGTTATTTGGCTGGGTTTTGCCAATCTATTACATACCTTCTGGTTTTGGCACTTTTGTGTTTCTCTGGTTGGTGTTCTGAGAGGCTTTAAAACCAGCAAACAGTTAGTTTTATTCTATAGCTCATGATAAGCATGATAACTGCTTTCCCAGTTCCCATATTTGTGCCTCAGATCAAAATCTGGTAACTGAAATAACCAAAGTATTTTTTACAAATACCCACAACACCAATAAATGTGATTTTTGTCTAAGGTCCACTAGGCCAATTTATATTAACAGATGTTGTTGCTGGTAATATAGATATTGTACAACCGGATGCAAGTAGATACTAATAAAAATAAAGAAAATTGGAAATGTTCCACCCTTGTCATTTGAAAATAATAATTGAGCTTGCACTCTTTTTAAATATTAAAACAATTGAGCATTAATATAAAGAGGCAGGTAACCATCAAATGCTTTTCGTTCGGCACTAAAAATTTCATAACAGAAGAATACCATAATTTGTTTTCATTCTCCTAAGAGACAGCTGCAGTAGTCTCAACTTCTTCAGGGAAATAAATCGACAGCATTTTCTAAGAGTGTAGGTGACAGGACTAATGATAGCTTCATTGGAAAACACAGCCAGAACTCCTAGTCCACAGATACCAAGAGAAATGAACTTAGCAGTACAAAGAAACTGTCTGGCTGCTTTGCTCCCATTCCCCTCAACTCCCCTTTTTATTGTTGGTGGGTTCTGTGTCTTATTTCTTCTTTAAATCTTTTTTCTGCTTTATAGAACAAACTCATGGCTGCAATGGATGATGACTCCCAGCCGAGTAAACTGTTTTATCTTTTGTCATATGAGGCAGTGTGTTGTGGCGAAAGACAGGCAATGGGAGAAAATAGATAGCTTAATTTTGATATATTTGCTGCATTTTGTTAATTTTGATTTTGACTATTAAATATTTGTTGCTGGTTCTCCTCTGATATGAAGATGAGAGAAAAAAATGGGCTCTTAGGACTGCAGCGTACAATAAGTTTCCTGCCTGAATCTTACTTTTGTGTTCGCACTGTAACTACTCTGTCACAATTGACAAATGCATTTGGATCTATTTAGCTATATTTACGCATCACATGTAAAATTGGGTTTCTTGCCACACACTGAAGTTGATATGTGCAATGGTGCACTGGAGAAGTGCACAGCTTTCAAGATGGAAATGATGCCCATGTAGGAAGCTCATCTTATGTGAAAATGAAATCGTTCTACAGGTGAGAGCCCCCAACAAGTCTTTTGCCCCTGGACAAACATTTTGCCAACTACAAGGCATAACAGGGAGAAAAGAGTTGATTCAAGAGCTCAGTTTTTCTATCAGGTAGTGCCATTTCAGATCCTGAAAAATGTGTATGGTGTTGTTTTTCCTGACAGGCTTTGGGAACCATTACTGCCGTGCCGATTAAAGTCCCTCAGGTCAGCTCCTTGCAGAGGTTGGCAGGACAAAGACCAGCAGTGCTACCTCAGGTAAAACAAAACAAAACACAACATGTTTCCATTTGTTGTCTGTTTTTATTAATTGAATTTGTGCATGATATTCAGACTAGAAAGCATTTCCATATATTAAATGGCTAATACCTTGTTAGGCAATTTTTTAAAAATTCTGGTGTTTCTTATACCTTCAGAATCTCAAGACAGGACCATTGCACTCATGTAGTAGACGTGGAATCTGCTTCTTTTCATCACAGCCTTTTGATGTTGATTCTTTCGGGAGAACTGTCCAGCATAAACCCCTCACTTTCAAAGAAAAAGAAAGCTCATAGTTATTTCAGTGCTCTCATAATTTATGCAGTCAGAAAGATATTAAAGCTCACTTTAGTTGTGTAAGAAAAGAAATATCAGATGTTGTCATTCAAATGGATATTTCAAAATAACTAGAGGAATATAATTCATTTAAAATTGGACATTCTGAATACAATACATTTTATAAAATAACTGATGTAAAAGATAGGTCACTATATCAGAGTACTTTCTCTTTCTCCCCAGTAATAGATATTATCAGTAAAATATTATTAGACTGCAAATAGAAACAAGCTTGCTCACTGAGTGTTAGTTTTAAAAGACTGCAAAGTCCCCAATAAGAGAAATGATAGAAACTGAGTTGCTGCAACTTATTGATGGGGATTTATTTTCAATCAATTTATAAAACATGTTGGACATTCTGCAAAGAGCTAGTGTATAAGCACATACCCCTTCATAAGTGAAATAGTGTTTAAGTTAGCAAAGGCAGTAGTAGTAGTAGTAGTAGTAGTAGTAGTAGTAGTAGTAGTAGTAGTAGTAGTAGTAGTTATAAATTTTATTCTGAGCTAAATTGCACTCAAGGCTCACATATATTCCAGCATAGCCGCTTTTGTATATGTTTGAATTCTTATTTCCTTGCTTGGTTGCTTGCTTTTGTTTTTGCTAACAAAAGGTAACATTCTTTAACAATCTCAGTTAGCATATTGCATGCCGCATAAGCAGTTGTAGGGGGTGGTTGTGTAGAAGATAAATAATGGCAGTTTTCAAGTCAATGTTCTCACCTGACTCTACAATAGGCATTTACATTGTTTTCATCTGGGAAACGTAAGGTTTCTGTAGGAGCAAGTAAAGTGGAAGGCAACACTGAAGGAAACAGGTGCACTAAGTAAAGTAGCTCTTTTGTTTTAGAAAGTTATCAAGAATGATATGGCGATCAAACATAATTTTAAATCCATGATGACAGATGGAAGGCTGTTAGCAACCAGCAAAAAGGAAAGCTGAAACTGAATCGTGATACTGAGGGATGGGTAATTGGTTCACAAAGGAGAAAGAGACTGGGAAAGGAGAAAGAGCATGGGTCAGACAAATGCTAATGGTCTGCATCAGTGGCTATCCCTCCAGCAGCAAGATCTTTTATGTTGGAGTTTAGAGTTGAGAAGGCAGATGATTGATGGAAGCCCAGTTCATTGGGCCATTGGGCACACGCTAGTAAACTGAAAATGTTGAACATGTCAGTTCCCTACGAGTGGCTAGGTTAATACGTACAGCCACTATTACTACAAGGATCTGTTCTTGTTTTATTTTTTAACACATTTTAAAGTATGTTTTTTTCCCAAGAACCTACTACGGGCACAAATGCTTGTATAAATGCTTTTGTATAAGTAATCAAACTGTCATCTGAAGTGGTACATGTTCTGCAATAGTTTTCCATAAGGCTTTAGGCATATGGATTTACCATGGAATGGAGATAGATAGAGAGAATGAGGGAGTCAGAGAGAAATGACAATGTTCTTCTATAAATAAGACACTGATGTCTCTTCTGTGTCTCTAAGGTAGCATTAAATCTTTTTCAGAAAGCAGGCTACAATTCAAAGGGTTCATGTCAAGTATGCATACCCTTATCTCAAACTATCCAGTATTGTTTTGAGTAGGAAGAACCACTTTGTTCTCCTTCAGAAATGAACTACCACACCAAGTCAGCAGTGGTTGTGTGCCCTAAGTTCTGCAGAAGCTTATGTGAATTCTGTGTATTTGACATGACACATACATGCATGAGTGCACAGAGGTGTGTAAATGTGCAAAACCAAACACAGACATACACCTAGGTACTGTATCTATATTGCTAATGTATAGAAAAGCTTTGTTTGGAACTATTTCCTGCTGTGTGTCAAGGTAAATATTGTTAAATATTTGAACATTTTCTGCTTTTCTGGCATGAAAACAAATTGGACAACAGCACAGAACATTTGAAATCATTATACACATATACTCGAGAGGTTTAACGGTTGTCACATACTACTGAAATGAAGTTTTTACTTTCTTGAGAAAAGCAAACTTAATGTAGTAGGATGATGTTCACCAGCTGTAAAATATCAATTTATTTCTCTTTCCTCAAGTATGTACAGATGCCACCTAATTTGTGTTACATGTAGGTCTTATTTATTTTGTCATGTTCCATCAAGTTGGAACCGACTTACAGTGATTCTGTGAGGTAAATATTTAAGAAACAGGGATTTAAACCTATGCCTTCTGAGTCCTAGTCCATCAATCACTCTGTCTACTATATACCACACTAGGTATCAGCTATAGGTCTTATTTATACAGTCCAGGAATGGCATACGATATTCTCTCTGTTTCTTTTGTTTTTGAAAATCTGTAAAGTATTATGTGCACTGTTGGCACTGTATAAATAAAAGTAATATAAGAGCCTCTCATATATACTAACAAAGAATTCCAAAAATTATCTTTTGTTGTGTGAATTGTCTTGAACCATTCATAATGGTGTTAAACAAGTCTCCATTAAGTTTTTGCATACTGGCATTATATGCTGTTTTCATGCTATTCTTTAGCCATTATCATAACATTGTGTCTCTCTGTGACAATTAGAAAGTTTTCTTTGTAGTCCTTCTGAATTAGGTTCACCCTTAGTCTTGTTTTGCGGGACCAGTTTCTGCCATTGTAGCCTAAGGATACAGAAATTAGAAAGGGTACTTGCTCCTGTCTGTACAGCCATATGCTCTCAACTCTTGCTCACTGTGGCTTATTTAAGGCAGCCAGAATTGATTGGCCCAAATGATCCTATCAAATCTTTTGTCTATTCTAATGCTTTTACCTAATGTTTTGCAGCAGAATGTAGAAGGTGGGGATTAAAGCAATAAATTGGAGAGCAGATTCTTGTTTTATGTTCTGTAGGGAGTTAGCTCCCCTTGGCCTCTGGTGGTAGGCAACTGTTTAATTGTTTCTTTTACACATGTCAAGGGCACAGTTACAAAGGCAGTGTCATTTATTATTTGTAAAAATTAATTCACTTTCATGTTGGGTAAGTTTCAGAAAAAGATGAGAGACAAGGCATGCAAAGATTATGTAGTTCTGCTGAAGTATCACAAGGGGGCAGAAAAGATCCAGTATTGACTTAGCCCAGACCTTCACAGGGAGTAACACTTTGTGTAGAATTGTATAATGCTGATATAAACATTAATTCATGTATAAATGATAAAGTGATGCATACTGTGGTATGATCAGTAAAACATGCTATGATAGAAATATCTAAGCAGAATATAGCTGCAGCATTTGTTTTGCTTTGCTCTAATTTCATTTTAGTATAGAATGAATAGCTAATTATCAGTAATGAAATGTTTAATTCATACTGTACCATTCAGAGGCAGGGAAGCCAAAGACTAAGGTTGACTACTGAGACAGGGCTTGTTTGTTCTGTGCAGTCTTGCCATGTCACATTTGAATTGTACAATGCCTTTGCTTAGTGCATGAAGAAGAAAGATTTTGACCAGGGAACTTAGAGTCTAACTACCAAAAGTAGAAAAAAATGATGAAGGTAGGAAAAGGAAGGTGGGAGTAACAAGGAGCAAAGGTGAGCAAACAGAGTAACTACTGTAGTTGTAATTAAAGTTAAAGGTGAGAGTTCAGGGGTTAAAATGAAGTCTGCATAGGAAAGGTGAATGTTGAGGTGGAATCAGGAATGTAAAAGTATAGTATTTAGGTTCAAGGAAAAAGTAATGTCCTTAAGGACATAGTAAGCATAAGAGAATTAGCAAGATCATTTCAGATAGATTGCACCTTCAGATGGTTTAGGACAGCAGAGTTGACAGAGTCAACATTGATGGCAGGAATGTGTCCACAAATAAAGTCAGGAAGATAGTGCTCAACAGACCCATGGAAAGAGCTTTGAAGGCAGGGATGAATGGGCATTAATAGAAAAAAGACAGCATGTGTATTCCCTTCTCTTTTTGTTATTTTACTGTCCAGAAACTGTTGGGAAAATTGGTGGGGGGGCAACTAGAATCTCCTCCTTGCCATTGTGTGTTGGACCACAGGAAAATGCCATCAAGCTGCACATGGGCTGTATACATACTAAGCTTCAGAAAAGCTTTGTTTTGCTTATTTTGTTCATGCTTCTGTGATTTGAAGCTGCTTTTGCTCACTGAAATGCAAAGCCTATGGGGGTAATGACGCAGATGGCTGCTTTCAATACCAGATTATTGGGAAATGACAGGGCTTGAGAGCTTTATTGCCAAAGAATAGGAAGGCAGAAAGTGACAAGTGCATATGTGGCAACTTGAATGGAAGGAATAAAAGTTGAGTTAAGCATGCAGTACATTAAATTATTTATGCTTAATCTTGAGGCAGTGCTTAACACACTGTTAACTTAGAGCCATGTTGACAGGATGGCATTAATTACACCAGTGGAAGGTACCAAATCATCTGAACTCAGTCTTCAGAGACTTTCTTTTTAATATCTCATTTGCACAATGCAGGCTGTTACTTGGCTCCTTCTCAAATTTTGACAAAACCATATTTTCCTTCTATTCTAGGAAACTCTAATCTATTAAAGACTTCTGACTAGCAATCCCCAAAGCAGCTTGCCAACCTAATGTGAAATCTAGCATACATTTGTTCATCTTCAAAGCAATCTGCCCTTTGTCAGTGCTGTAGATCACAACAAGGCTAATAGGAAGATCCCTGCTTGTCATTCCTCAAGGCTTTGAGCCTATGAACTGTATTTAATATAGTGATTTGACACAGGACACAGTAGTAGAGTGTGAAATCTTAGGGTCACTTTATACATTCAGTAGAACATGCTCAAACATTCAGATATGTACATGATTTGTTCCTATTCTAGGAGTCCAGGATCTGTAATTCTGCTGAATGCATAAATTGGCCTTGTTAACCAGCAAAAATGGGATATAGTATTTTTCTGTTGTAAAACAAAAGACAGCATATGAAGGTTTTGCCAGATGGTCACACAATCATTCACTGGTCAAACCCATACCTGCTTAGGCCCAGCAAGGTTACTGCATTTGTTTTTACCTGTGCAGCTAATAGTTTCAGAGTTAAGAGGTGAGGCTTTAAGTTATAGACATGGTGCAAGCGTTGAACAGCCCAACCCCATCCTTGTACTACTGCTCCACGCCTCTGCTTTGTAGTACAATACATGAATTAATGGGAGATGCTGTTGCACATCTCCCACTGCATCTGGTTCAGAAAAATATCTCAGAAAATGCCAAAGATTGATATCATTCTTCACATGGCCATGGCTTTTTCTGCTGGATTGGATATGTATTGTTTTCTTTCAGACACATGTTGAATAGCCACTTCTTCTTTTCCTTGCAGGTTAGGCCAAAGACCCTGATTCCAGAAAGCCTCCCGATTTCTCCATGCAGAGACCAACCTTCCAAACAACCTTCAACGTTCCAAAAGGCAACAGTTGTCAGCATCAAAACCCCCACTCCTGCCCTTCCCACTGCCAATAATACTGTTAGCCATGTGCAGACACCCAACAGCCAATCACAAAGTGTCAGTGAGCCTACAGCTATCTCATCACCCCTGAGCAGTGCCGGTGTGGCCTATGCCATCATCTCCACATCTCCCAACACTGCAACTCCGATCAGCACCAGTGCTGCTGTCTCAGTGGTTAATGACAGCATTAAAGTACAACCACTCCTCATCAGTGCTGACAGTAAGGTAGGTTCTACTATGGAACTGCAGTTCTTGGAGCAGTATTAGCATGGCTTGCATAGGTAAGATGTGGCATTTCAAAAAGTGTATTTTGCCTCTAGCTAGAATTGTGAAAGTTGTGAGGAACTATTCAAGAATGAGAAAAATGTGTAAGATTCCTTCTCTCTACCATATTTCTGCTAGCTGTAATTAAGAACATTTTGCAGAAACCCCTGTCCTGCAGTATGTTATCATTGAAGTATCTGGGGATAAACGATCAGAGACCAACAGGAAGTGTACAGCCCAAACCCCAGCTGATTAGATCAAATCTCTGTGTGGAATTCAGTGTTCCATATTGTTTTTAGTCTCTGTTGCCCCATTAGGATCGGCAGGTGGAAACGTTCTAGTAACAGTAAGAGGTTCTTGATTATAGATGGGCACGAACTACAGTTTGGCTCAATTTGGTGCCTTGCGGTGCCACATTCCCCCTTCTCCCATCTTGTCTGCATGCTCATCCATTCCCCGAGTGAAGCGTGATTTCCTCTTCACCTTCTCGGTGCAACTGACCACTCAGTGGTCACAGTGCACACTTCCCTCCTCCATCACCTCCTCCGATGGAGGGGGGAGATGGGAGTGCACAACACCTGTGCAGGCGTCACACTGAGCAGGGCTGAACTGCCAAACTGCAGGAGGACAACCAACACCCGCCAACTATATATACCAGCCCTCGCTGAAAGCCACCAAACACTGAATGGGCTTGTTTATTATAAGGACTACTTCAGTGATAGGGACGTGGTGGCGCTGTGGGTTAAACTGCAGAAGCCTCTGTGCTGCAAGGTCGGAAGACCAGCAGTTGTAAAATTGAACCCACGTGATGGAGTGAGTTCCCGTCGCTTGTCCCAGCTCCTGCCAACCTAGCAGTTCGAAAGCATGTAAAAATACAAGTAGATAAGTAGGTACCACCACGGTGGGAAGGTAACTGCGTTCCGTGTCTAATTGTGCTGGCCACGTGACAACGGAATATGTCTTCGCACTGGCTCTACGGCTTGGAAACAGGGATGAGTGCCGCCCACTAGAGTTGGACATGGCTGGAATAAATGTCAAGGGGAACCTTTACCTTTACCTTTTTAGCTCAGTGATGGGAACTGTGGCCTGGAGCCAGTGGAATTATTGACAGGAGACCCCAGGGCCTCCAGCTCCACCGGGGGTGGGGACACAAACTTAGATTGCATTTTGGACTGCTTGCAGAATAGTCTGGTGCAATCTATTTCCTGGCAGTCACATGACATAGGGGGAATTTGTCTCCAGACCAACCCTGATCCAAATTAAAGGGTTACTACTATTTGGGGCCAAGTTAGAGAGATTCCTCAAGAAATAGAAGGGTCACTTTAAAGAAGATTTCTTCCTGCAAAAAATACCCTTTCCAATTTGATTGAACACATGCATTTAGCACTTCTGTTCGCACCTTAACTCAGCATATTAGAGACGCCACTATTGAAAACACAGTAGCCTATAAAATCTCTTTTGTGGGTTGAATTGTGCACAGTAGTAGCATGGTCTTCCATACAATTCTTTCAGGGCTATTAATACAGAAATTTAGCACTGCCAACACAATCTGCATAAAGACATATTTTAATCAGCAAATAGATTAATTCAGTATAATGGCCCCATTTTCTGTTTTGCCATTCCCGCAGCAGTGACCAGTAAAATGTAAATGTATAAAATAGAATTAGTAACAAAAAAAAAACCCAGAAGAGTTAAAATCAACAGACTGTATAACATGAAAATTGTTTAAAAGATTAGAAATTGAATTTTCCATGGGAGCAGTGACCGTTTCTGTGGGGAAACATTCCCATTTGTTGACAGATAATCTTCTCTTCCTCAGCACTGAAACCATTATTGAGGCTGTATTGTAGACTTTAATTCTCAGGTTGATATGAGAGAAGTTCATTTATATATTCTGGACTGGGCCTCTTGAAGAGGCATTGCAGGAGTGCAGAGCCTGTGCCCCCTCCAGGTGTTGCTGAAGTGCAACATAATATATCATCTCTCTCTCTCTCTCTCTCTCTGTCTCTCTGTTTGTGTATGTATGTGTGTGTGATTTCAGCCATTGGCTCACTGGCATATCTAGAAGGCCAGTATTTGTTAGTGATTAGAACCAGCAAGTTGGATTTGTCCATTATCGTTGTCAATTAACTCAGTGGTCCCCAACCTTGGGCCTCCAGATGTTCTTGGACTACCACTCCCAGAAACCTTCACCACCACCTCTGCTGGCCAGGATTTCTGGGAGTTGAAGTCCAAGAACTTCTAGAGGCCCAAGGTTGGAGACCACTGAATTAACTGGCCCACTCCGTTGCCATTGTCAGTTTCCAAGTTACTGCAGCAAAATGCTTATCAAGAAGGAGTGCCACTTCCTTGACAAAGCCTATGAAATGCAGTCATGGGCATATCCAGCAGTTGAGCATCCAGAAGCAAAGCTGTGAGCCTTGACTTTCATAGGAAGTGTAACTCCATAGAATAGAAAGTGATGTTTTTGGACTATAATCCCCAGAATCCCCAGCCAACATGTTTCCAAACTCCACCACTTTGGCTCTGATGCTTATTTTTCTAGAATGCATTTTTATTTTCTTTTATCTTTATTTAGTCCAGCTTTTATCTCTGATGGAATTGTAAACTTTATTTCCCTCTGAATCTAATGGAAAAGAAAAATAGAGCTGACTTTCACTTGCACATTGATGACATCTTACCCCATAACTCGATCACCTCTCTTAACAATTTTATTTAGGTAGCAATGACCTTTTATAGGGCAGGAACCTTCGTGTTTTTTTTTAAATTTAATGTATAAATAAATTTAGTATACAAAGTACTACTAGTTTTCAAAAGGCAATAATTGTCTTGAACAATATGATAAATTTTTCAGTTGTATGTACTTTTCCTTGCAAATAAGCTCCGTTGCTTTATTTTTAGAGTAAATAGGTAAAAAGTATGCTGAAATGAGCATCTCAGTAAGATAAAATGTGCAGTGTTATGTACTTTTATTCACAAATAAGCTCCGTTGGATCATTATGGAATAAACTGACAGAAGGCAAAGTTGATGTCCATATTATTCTGTATCATGCCAGCAGGATATAGTTTGTGGAGTAGATGAATGTATGAAAATGGAGAAAGAGAAACTGGATTTTAAAAGCAACTTATTTTACCATTTCTTTTCCAGGGTCATATTTCTGCCAACATCCATGTTGCTGCAGATTCAGACTGCCTCTAAGACAGGCCAAATATTCATTGAAATTATGAATGTGCATAATGCTTTCCCTATTCATAATCTATATAGGGATTCTGCCATGAAGACATCCTTCATTTAACCTGTTTGCTCTATGATTGTATTGCCTCTTCAAAAGAGCATAGTTGACTCATTCTCTTCTATTTGAGAAAAAGAAAATATTTATCACCTTGTAATCATTTCTTTTTCCTTCATTCATGTTTGTTTTACAGGTCATCATCATTCAACCTAAAGTTCAAACTCAAACAGAAAATAAAGTGGAGATAAAGAAACCTCCTGAAGAATCGACTCAGGGACCTCCTGCTACCAAAAAGAAAAAAGAAGAAAATCCAGAGGTTAATGAAATAAACTTATTTTATTTTAAAATGTAATAGATACTTAATATATGCAGAAAGACTTCAAAAGGACATCCTTAGTCCACAGGTTAAGTATATACAGTGATACATTTCTTGGAGTGGGGAATTTTTCATTATTATACTTTTATGTTATGTTTATTTGCCTTTCTTCAAACAACTATAGTGTGTTAGTTAACATTGCCATAAAATAGAATAAATACAAAGATAGTGCTGCATGTCTTCTAGCCATACATGTGCACGCATTCCCTCACAGCTTGTTTTTCCTCTTCTTAGAATCAAATTTCTCTTGATAGCCTTAAGCCCAGTTTGCCCCGTCCCCTATATTACACCAGTGTCCTAACAAAGCAGTGAGATGTCAGTTTGATGCTACTCCTCCAGCCTTTATGTTTATCGTATGGACATATGCAGTACCAGGAAAAGATAGCTTCGAAATGTACAATAACCAATCCATTAAGTGGATTAGTATCTACCTACTTTTAAGCCAGTGGCTTATGTGAGAAGTGAAGTGAAGATGGGTTTATGCCTGCTGTTTCATTGGTTAGTCTAGAGTCTCTTATTTTGTAAGCCACTGAGATGGATAACATGATTGAAGATTGCCTGAGAACTGAAACCTCAGTCTATCAACTGCTGTTTTTGAACATCCTAAAATTATTCCAGTGAGAAAAGACTTTGAAAATGTAGGAACTGCGCCCCTCTCACATCTTCCTTGTGAAGTTGCCTATAGCTTACTGTTGTCACTAAAGCATGCTTTAGCTGAAGTATCTATTTTCTCTGCAAAATGTCCTAAAAAGTTATTTTATTTTATTTTTCAGTGCTCACTTCAGGCATATTCTAAAATTTACACAGCGACTAAACCTTTACCAAGACATAATTCTGGGACCAATAAGCTTTAAGAACTAATCTTAAACAATATGACTATAGAACTTCTTGGAAATACTTTTTCTTTAATGCAAATGAACATGGGAAAGTGGGAGCTGATATTATGAGGAATACAAATATCAGCACCACAGGTACCTGAGGAAAACAGACCCTCCCCCCAGAACTGGCCCTTCCACTTACAACTCTCCGCATGGCATACACAGCCGTCATCATTTGCATTGCGTTAATCCGGGAAGCAGCTTGGCTGGTGCTTCCCTGCCTCTCCGCACAGCTGACCACTCTGGTAAGGAGGCAGAATGACAAGTCTCCCTGCTCAGCTGTTGAGTGGTCAGCTGTGCGGAGTGGTGGAGAAGCACCAGCCAGGTTGCTTCCCAGATTGGTGTGAGGCAACTGACAATAGTGTGTCACTTGGAGAGATGTAAGAAGATGGGCTGGTGTTGGGAGGAGGGTCTGGTTTCTGCAGGCACCTGTGGTACTGATACTCATATTTGTATCCTGAGGGATACGAATACTAATATCCCACCTGTAATTACGTGATACTAAATACTACTTTTGGGACATGGTGGCGCTGCGGGCTAAACCGCACAACCCTTTGTGTGCTGCAGGGTCAGAAGACCAGCAGTTGTAAGATCAAATCCACGCATTGGAGTGAGCTCCCGTTGCTTTGTCCCAGCTCCTCGCCAACCAAGCAGTTCGAAAGCATCTAAATGCGAGTAAATAAATAGGTACCACCTCGGTGGGAAGGTAAACAGCGTTCCGTGTATAGCCGTGCTGTCCACGTGACAATGGAAACTGTCTTCAGACAAACGCTGGCTCTACGGCTTGGAAATGGGGATGAGCACCGCCCCCCTAGAGTCGAACACAACTGACTAAAATGTCAAGGGGAACTTTTACCTTTTAAAGACTACTTTAGTGAAGTCCAGAAGATAGTGGAACTCAACACTGTTGTCTTTACCTAAGTTGAATATGATTAATAGCTATCTTTGGAACAATGCCTGGGCAGAGTAGACTTGCCCTCATTGTACCTTTCTGTAAACAGGAAACTCACATATAGGCTTGTCTTTAAAACTAGAGTTATTGCATTTAGCCATATCTAGCAATATTTCCTCAAACTGAAAGCTGTTTTTTATGGTTCATTTAAAACAATGAACTATGACAACAATTGCAATACACACTTTATTCCTTCTCATCTTGGTAAGCAGCTTGATAACTGCCATCTTCTTCTCTTTCCTCCTACATAGCATTTAAGAGCTTTCTAGGTATTTGAAAGTTTATATATATTAGCATTCTGTCCTTGTGGAGAAATCGTTTGAAAGCCATGTATAATGAACATTTCAACAGCACACTGTAAACTAAATAAAGAAGAGGTCACTCTAACTTCCTTAGGGGACAGTTTCATGATACCTAGTAAGTACAAAGCACAAATGAGGTGTGGACTGTTTTATATATGACCAGTTATATTATATCATAAATAAAAGTTAATCTGATTTGTAAAATATTGCCTGAAATCCTGTTGTTTAATGTAGCAGGTTGCACTAGAGTAGACCCATTGAATCAGTAAAAATTTGGTGACTCAACTCCTCTGTAAGCTCCATTTATTCAAATGGGCCTACTTTAGTTGTAGTTTACATATTGCAGCTAGTGTAGGATCATCTAAATCAGGGGTCTCAAACATGCGGCCCGGGGGCCATTTGTGGCCCACCGGATGATAGTTTGTGGCCCCCACCTTGCCTGCCCCCCTGAAGCGCCCACGCATCCTCTCCTGTCAAGAGTCAAAAAAAGCCTTGCTTGCTTGCTGGCTCTCTCCCAAGACAGCGCCTCTTGCACCCTCCATCCGGAACTGCAGCCTGCCAGCCAGCCCGCCTGTCGTGGTGGGGGTAGCTGCTGCTGCTGGGTGAGCCTTTTTTTTGAGGGGGCCCTCAGAGGAAGGTTGCTGGACCTCCGTGTGTGTGTGTGTATGTGTTTGTGTGCGTGCATGCGTGCGCACTTGTGGGGCCCCCACCCCATTGTTTAATTTTGCGGGTACCTCTGGGGGCATTTCTCCTTTGGCAAGGTGAAATCTGCGAGGGTTTTTTTAAAATTTTATGTCATACCCTCCTCCCCCTAGCTAGGCGGTCACCGGCGCTCGCTCCCTTCTATGCTTCTTCGTCCTGCTGATGGTGATAGTAGTGAAGAAGGAGCTGGAGGGGGTCATGGCCGGCGACGAGGACTCGCACACCCCTCCTCCTCCTCGGAGCCCCAGCCAGGCTAAGGAAACTCCTGGGCAGCTTCCTCGGGCTCTTGCTCTGCTTGGTGGAAAATCTGATGCGGCCCAACCTCCCCCAGACTCTGCCTCCAGCGGCCTCCCGAGTAAATTGAGTTTGAGACCCCTGATCTAAATCAATGGAACTTGGGAGAGTTTATTCACCAAATCCGTGCTGATTCATCGGGCCTATTCAAGTGCGATTTATTACACTAAACAACAGGATTTTAGTCATTGCCTGCTTTTTTGTGTGACTATTTGTTTAATCCTCCAGTTCAGCAGATCTACAGATTATCACAGCATCCATGCTAGATTTTTCAGTAGGATTGTGGCATTGACAGACTCTCAGTATTCTTTCTGTATCTAATGAGGTTTTTGTTTTCTTTCTTAACCACTTTAGTCAAATGTCTAAGGGAAATATTCATCGAATGGAGAGGTATAACATAAACTGTTCTAAATGTGTATGAATATATAGCAAGGCCTTCTTTTTCACTAAACCTGTTAGTTAGACTTCTTTGGATCTTTCATTTGTCTTGAGTGGTGTTCTTGTGCAAAGGGATCCTCATTCCAACAGTCAAGTTATGATTATGCAATGAACAACTAAGATCATTCTTTGTACATGTTATGTTAATAGCAACTTGCTCAAACTATGATTGCTCAACTTGCTCAAGCTATGCATGAAGAGGATCCTGGCCCTTAATTTTAGAGAAATAAGTTATAGTGCCACAATTGTGGCTGTATGCTAAATCTAGGTTAGATGACTCACATTCCTCCATTACGAGCAGAATTGGAGGGGAGGGAGTGAATGACCTGCTCACCTAAATGATCTCTGTCTTTCAAAAGATTACCATCTTTGTTTTGTTTTGTGGATGCTTCATGCAAGTTTAGAAATTCACAAATCTGGAAAAAAATGTTCTTCTTATTTCTGTCAACAAAACCAGTGATGCAATAAGTTAAGTGGCTGTTATCTTGGAATAACTGGTCATATACACACGCTTTTCATTATAAACACAGTGTGGGAGACTGGAGGATTTGCATAGTAATTATACAATAATGCTGTAATACCACTGTGTGACTAAACAAACGCAGCCAGCCTAAATCTTGTCTTGTCATAACAATTCTCACCTTCATCCACCTCTGTGAATGCAAACATATTTTGTATTGATATTTTAGCTAGACAACCCATTTCCTTCATATTTTTCTTTACATTTTCTCATTTGAAGTGCCCCTATTATTATATATGATTATATATGATTATATAATTATATATGAATCACCAACCTGGGTTCCTTTGGCAATTTTTTAAAAGTATGCATAGTTTCTGTCCCTCCTGAAATATTATTCTGAAGTGCTGTTTGAAAATTCAGTCAGAGATTGCAAAGGTATTTTAAGACTGAAGTTTCATTTTCAGATTAGGTTTTCTTGCCTTCTGCTTATCAAAGTAGAACTGATGACTTAACATGAGTACAAGTTCTATTGGAAGAACCGTATGGTTATAAGGCAGTGAAGACTTGCAACATAAACATGGGATCTGCCACTGTCTTCCTGTTGTTGTTTTTTTATGTGTGCTGGAGAAACAAGTGTGCATTACAGCCTTGCCATTGAGTACATAGGCTTTGGGTTAATTTATTTTGTTCTTTGAGTAAGCTTAGTTGATTAACATGCATTTATGCAATTAGTGTAATTAGAACTAACTGTGTAATTAGTGTAAATGCATGTAACGACAACTAGAACATATAATTACAACAAGAAATGTGTGTTTTTTTTAAAAAAAGCTTTATTGAATTATGCAAAGAGGGATGTACTGCTGATTTCTTAAGGCATGTGTTGACATCCTTAGTACACAAAATAATGCAAAAAAACCCAGATCAGAGCTGGTCTTTCAAAGACAAAAGTAAAAGAGAAATAAGGTAGAAATAGCTTGTATTAATGGTAGAACAGAAAAGCAGGCAATGTAGACATTTCAGTGAAAATTCTAAGGGTTGAAAGATTCCATGGTGAGACACAATACACATTTCTCAACGTCACGGTGTTTTACACAAGTTCTGAAATTCTGAGAATTCCTTATTTCATGAGCCCAGGAGGGTATCATTTTGTCACCCAGAATAGCAATCCATGTCTTTTTCCCTGAGACCTGATGTAATTGAGTTTTCAGGTCTCTCAATTTGCTCTATGTTACTAGCTGTTGCCTGGAGTGGAGGGGACTCAAAGCATGATGGTATCACATTACCAGCTTTGTTTTTTGTGTTTTACTCACTAGAAAATGAGGGGGAGGAAAAGATGGGGGACTGCTGTCTTCCCAGGGAGGGGAAAGGTGCAGCAGCCAGTGAAGGATGTCTGATAAAGCTGTGTCTGGTTAGTGTACATGAATATCTTAGCCACTCTGCTCATGAGTATTGTTTTTTTTAAAAGCAGCACTTACAACCAGATTCAGCAGACCCAATGCACCAGGTCAAGATACCCCTTCTAACCATTTTTTCACCGTGTACAATACAGCCTCTCTAACCATTTTTGGCCATGTATTGTCCAGTAATTGTGTGTGTGCATGTATGTTGAATGTAACTGATAGTCTATTCTGCTTTTAAAAGTAGAAATGGAAAACTGATAAGTGTAATGAAGTACAGTGCAAGCCTCGGGGTGGGGATAAATATGTATGTATTTATTTGGCTATGTTGGACCAACTCCAGAGGAGTGGATATTGATGGTGTTTCTTACCTTGCAGCTATTATTGGAATCTTGCTCAAATGAAAACATTTGTAAAGGTCCCTGGCATTGCTGGAATTTTTGTAATAGCAATCAAAGAATACAAAATAAAAGTTGTCTTTTTTCCTCCTTTTCTTCTCTAGAAAATTGCCTTTATGGTAGCATTAGGCTTGGTTACAACAGAATATTTGGAAGGTAAGTATGATTTTATTACTCTGAAAATATTTTCTTTGGGGAGATATTTGAAGAGAATAAATTCCACAGATGTTATGAAGGTAAGTTGGAAATCTGAACTCTTATTATTTAAAAGGTTGTAGGGTATAAAGATGTCATCTCAGTATGTGTTACACAGTTTATACTGGTTTCTGGCATGTATCACTACAGAAGCCAAAGTAAAATATGTATATCATGGTTGGCACATCTTAAAGGAAGCACAGGCGCAGTTTTTCACTAAGACAAACTGGAAGCTTTGAGAAGCAAAGGGAAAAGGTTAAAACAATCGTAATACACAAAGATCCTGATTTCTACTAACACTATTAAACATGGAAACCCAGACATGTTAACCATTATAACACATTCAGTGTACTGTGCAATTTGGGCTTAATTTTTCCCTTGTAAAGTATCTTGGGGAAGTTCATGGTCTGGTGAGATGGCTTGCTGGTTGAGCTTGCTGGTCTGAAAATCTCTGATTTTTATGGTTACATTTTTTTAAAAGCCATTTCATGCCTTGATGAGTAAAAATTTAAAAGCAGTTTAAAGAAAGGCCAAGTAACCAGCATTCCTAATCCTTTAATGGTAACAGTCTGAAGCAAAAACTGCAGGACACAGTTTTACCAGGGGACTTGCATAATGAAAAAAGGTGCAGGTGATAATCGTACAACTTACTTAATTTGTGGGATTTGTGTATTGAAGAAAATAGGATAGTAATATTATGCATGACTGCCTCTGAGCATCACAATATTCAAATTGTCTGCAAGCATGCAGTCTTAGTTCTCTTTTCACTAGACTTGTTCTTCAGTAAAAATAATTATAGAAATTAAGATGAAGAAATAAATAAAATAACATGGGGTGGGGGGGAAATGACTGAAATCTTGTTCATTGTTGTATAATATCTGGACATGGAAAGAGCCTCTCATGTGAGGACCATGAACATATTTGGACATCGCCAGGGCAATGGCAACGCCCTTTTGGCTGATCCTTCCACTCCAGAAACACCATGGGATTGCTTTTGATGCAAAAAAAGAAAAAGAGGAACTGGACTGAAATAGCTAGTAAGAGGAAAAGATATAAAACATTTTAGTTCTCAAACACTTATTGTTAGAAAGATTGAGGGAAACCAAAAAAATTATATGGAGTTGGGGAACTTCGAGACTTTCCTTATCTCATTTAAATTTTTCCAATTTTAAAGCTAACGTTTATTTTACAAAATGAATTCAGAGCATACTGTATATTGGGAAGAAAACATGACATTTCATGCCCTGCCTTTATGCTGAGAAAGTAAACACAGGTGTATGTGCTAGAATGCAGGAGCATGTGCTTAATCTTTCGCCCATTCAGTAATAGTCTTTGGCAAGGGCTTCTCCCTTTTAATAATTTCCCCCCAGTCAGTTTGGAATCAGACATATATGCCGCTTGCGGGAGAAATAGCTTGAGGTTGCATGGCATTTGCTTAGAAGAAGATAGTGGCCATGGAAGAAATAAGCACCTATCATATTAGCTACTTCTCCTCTCCAAGTATCTCTCCACTGCATTACCTTGGCAAATCTGGGTTTTTGGCACAGTTCTACATGCACAAGCCTCATAATGTCATCAGCTATAACGTTTTATCACTAGTTAAGCTTCCGTGGCAGTGATTTTCAGACATTAAAGACTGCCCCAGGATGCAAGGAATCTCTAGGGAGGCTTGGAAACTTGGGGAGATGATAGGAAACCTTTAATTAGTAACAAAAGGCTGTGGGTTACGATGTCATTAGCCTTGCATACATGGACCTGTTCCAACAGGATTTCAGCCAAGACATAAAATATAGATCTATAAGAAGCTATGTGTATAGAAACATATGTTTTCAATTACAACTTTGTCATCCCAAGTCAAAATAAGCACATATAGTCACAATCATTTTGGTGTTTGTACAAGATTTGTGTAATGTACTGCAGCTAATAGCAGCTAATTGATGGGCTTCTTGCTGGCAATTAACAAATCCCCACCTGGATTTTTGGGAACCCACCTGGTTACTTGGCAAACAAATGAAAATCTAAGCAGGTGCCAGTATGAAACCACTGCAAGTTATGCCATTTGTCTTCTGCAAGCAGCAGGATTTGGGCCATTACTTTTTTTAAAAAAAAGATGACACACATTTTAATGGGATGGATATTGCTCATCACTCTTAAAAATGTGAATATTTCCATGCATGCCAGATTGGAATGAAGACCAGAGAGTTCCCCATCCTGTGTCCAATAGTAGCCAGGCATGCTACTTCTGGTGCTCACACACAGTATGTGGTGGTGATAGCCTTCTCTGTTATTGTCCTCAATATCTCACAATTAAAGATGGGCACAAATCAGAAAAAAGTGATTAATTTTGATTCAAGAGTCATCAAAGTTGACAAATCACAAATCACGAATTTATGATTTTTTCTGATGAATTGATTTGTCAATTTGTTCCTGGAATTTAAAATCCTATAAAATGCCCCCCCCCCCAGCATCTAGAGTCACCAGCTTCACAGGAAATTTTTCTGACTCTCCTCTACAAGCACTGCAAGTTTGATGAAGATCAGGTTTTGGACATCCAAGGTATAAACCCACAAGGAGGCCCTCCAGGAAAGTTCCCCCCAGGCACCTAGAAATATCAAAATCACAGAGAACCTTTTACTGACTCTCCTTTACAGTTTCTCCAAGTTTAGTTTCAGACATCCAGGTTATATACCCACAAAGTGGATCCCCCCAGGCAAATGCCCTTTAGCAGCTGGCTTGGGAAAATCCAATCTTCACCAAACTTGGAGGGATTATAGAAGAGAGTCATGGGAAGCTTCTCTGTTATTTTGGTGACCCTAGGTGCTTGGAAGGAACTTTCTGGGGGTCTTTTTGTGGGTGCATAACTCTGACATCTGAAATGTAATCTTCACCAAAAGTGGTGAGTTTGTAGAGGAGAGTCAAAGAAAGCTTCCCTGCAGATCTGGTGTCTCTAGGTGCCCTGGGCACCATTTTATAGCCAAATGAATAAAATTGCTTCCCTGCACATCTGGTGTCTCTAGGTGCCCTGGGCTGCCATTTTATAGCCAAATGAATAAAATAAATCACTAAAAATTAATTGATTCATGATTCGTTGGGGCATTGATTCATATGAACACAAATCAACGAATTAGCAATTTTTGAACAATTTGGTTATTTGTTTTTTAATTTGTGCCCATCTCCACTCATAATCAAAGGTGTACTGCCTTTAATATGGAAGTTCAATGGTCATCTGGCCAAATAAGTTGCATCTAAGCATTTCCTTTTCAAATGATTACACACACTAGTATAATACTTCTTAAACTGATTACAGAAATCCAAAGCAAACGCCAGGAAAGGAAGAGACGAAGCACTGCCAATCCAGCCTACAGTGGACTCTTGGAAACAGAGGTGAGCCTGTTTCTGTCTGGTTTTCTTGTCATAATAACTTGTGGCCCCAAAGAGCACAGTACAACAGGAAAGGGATTAGGGATCTCTTGACATATTCTCTTATGGATATGTGAGGCAAGAGTTCTGCTCTTTTTTGTTGGAATTTAGTGAAGGGGGGGAAAGGCTCATTTGAAATGTTGATAAAACTTAATCTATAGTTAAATGGTGTCTTCTGCCAGACTATTGACAGTCACCATTCACGTGTAATGCTGGTATACATTGGCATGACCCAATATAGATCTCAGGAGATCTGGGATATGGTTTTCCTGAGGAGCCCAACTAGCGCTTCATGTATCCCAGGACTCTGCAACACAGCACACCTCCAAGAACAGAAGGGGATTGTTCTGCTACGCTTGCAAAAGTTGCTCAGGATGAATGAGGGATGAGCACAGACAGACATGGGGACGAATATAAAATGAATCAGGATATTCATTAAATGTTCCTGATTTGTCAGGTATTCATTGCTTCATATTCTTGGGGTCCAGAGACCCCAATGAATATAAAGTAATGAATATAACCCTTTTATATTTGTCCCTTCGTTCCCTATCTGCTTATGCCCCTGCAGATCAGCTGTTCCTCGTGGGCATAAGCAGAGAGGGGTTTTCCCTTTGGGCAGCTTGCTAAAGCCTGCCCAAAGGGAATGCCAACCATGGGGCTGGGGGATGGCTTGGTTCCCCTTTCCTCCCATGCCCATGCGGCATGAGAAGAGGAGGGAAGGGATCAAAGGGATCCCTCAGCCAGTGACTGCGTAATGGCTTTGATTCCTTTCCCCCTCCTTTTGCTATACCCCGTGGGGCATAATAAGAGGAGAACAGACCTGATGGTCAGGTGTGACGACCCACAAACCAAGACAAAGTGCTATTTTGGCTCTTCTTCCCCGTCTCTAATCCTGGATCATGAAGATTTGATTGATGGGAGTGGGAACAAAGATCTCTCTTTTGATTTAGGAAATATCTTGATGGGGTATTCATGTCCCAAGGAATAGGCGGGATAGAAATCCAATAGATAAATATAAAGTAAGATAATCTTACTATATTTCTGTTGTGATTGTGGTTTTACCCTACATTACTTTATTTATTAGCATCATAATAAAACTGCATCCATTATAATTGATACACTAGTGATGTGATCATTTGAGAGACATTCCTGCTTTGTGAAATGGGTGCCTGTAGCGCAAGCTTAACTTTGGCTGTTTCAGATTTTCTAAAGAGACAGAGATGTAGAACTGCAAATTATATACACTTTTTGTTACTATGCTTCTGATATCTAGGAATATATAGTCTATGGGGAAGGAGTTATGAAGTTTCAAATATGCATGTGTATATTCTCTTAATTTCCAGAAAAACAATTTATTTATAAAAATTATATGGTGCTTTCCCTGCCTTTCTTTGTTGGTTTGTCTGCTGATGGAGTTTACTTTGTCAGTGCATCTGGCAAAAAAAGAATCGTGACATAATTAATTTGTTAGACCAGTATCCTGTTAAACTTCTGCTGAGTAGAAAGTCCTGATCAGAATGCTTGCATAAGTGTTGCCATTGCAGAAATGGAGGGCAGGTTTCCTTCATGGAGATCACAGCTTGCACAGTGGCAATGAAATTTATATCTTTTTTAGCAGTTTGGGGAAAAATGCTGACCTTTTGACTGAAATCCAGTAGTGAGTCTCAACTTGAGTAGACCTATTGATTCAATGAGCCTACTCTAGTTGCAGTTTACTACTGTATTTCAGCTATTTCGAGGCTATTTATTGATCTTGGGGACTGAATTCATAATAACTTGAAAACTAAAGTTAGAAACTGTTTTGTGCTTCCTGGAGTTGTTCTGTTTAGGAATAAGGCAAAAGGGAGTAGAAAGTTTTGTATATTGGAAGCAGAATAAGTACTATGAAATCCCCCAATGAGATGGAAGACAGGAGGGCCTGGCGTGCTCTGGTCCATGGGGTCATGAAGAGTTGGACACGATTAAACGACTAAACAACAACAAATTTTGAATTGAATGGTGGGTTCTGCAGAACTAAAGCATCTTTCTTTCATTGACTTGGGACCCAGTACAGTTTTTCTTAATGGTTAGGAACACTTCAGAGTGAGAAGACTTGCATGAAAGAGAGAAGCCTTGTACCACAAGGCTGCCTTTTATACCAGTGTTGTTCCGATTTTGGGGAAACTCACATGGGAAGACCTGCAACATGTGTATCGTTATGGGTTCGTAGCTAGCTTCCTGGGTTACCCTGGTGGCATGGAAAAGGATATCCTACAGTGACTTGCCTTACCTAAGCATGGCAATTGAAAAGTTGCTCACCATTTGATTCAAGTATTGGTTTATGGGCTGTTCTGATAGCTAATGTTCCAATCTCTTGTTTGACCTGGTCACAACTTTTATTCTATGATGCTTTGTATCTAACAAGATTAGAGCTAGATTTTCAGATTGCATGCTCCTGTACCAGCCACCTGTGCTTACCTCCATTGCCCACAAAAGGTCTTGACTGTACTGGGAGATTCTGTATGTATATGAATATAGGATCTCCCCCAATGCTGTGATATAGAACATGCATTCATACAGTAAATTCTTGTTTATTTCTCTGAGGACTTAAAGTGACCCTAATAATTTTTTAATGTATGTGAGATGTTCAGGGAGTGGTTTTCCATAGCCACCCTGCATTGAGATTTTGTGCTTGAGTCCAGGAGTTTGAACCCATGTCTTCTGAGTCCTAGTTCAATACTTTTTCCACACCATGTCGGATTTCTGAAGAGTGGTTGGTAAATTTTTCACAGGCATGCACATGTTACTTCTCTTGATCATAATTTCTCACTTATACTTAGAGAGTAATAGAACAAAAACTTCAAATAATGTTAGTGATATTATTATGTGGGTTTGTTTTATTCTGCAGCGGAAACGCCTTGCATCAAATTATCTGAATAATCCTTTGTTCCTGTCCACAAGAGGTAAGCTCTTCAAACTGGAGTGGATATATGAAGTGGTACTTAACATTTTTGATGAAGTCATTCTAGTAAATCAGGTTCTGTAGTGGGACATGAATTGTAACACAGCATTAATAAAAGTAAAAGTGGTAGAATCTTGTGAAAGCTGCATAATTTGGAGAAAGGAGGAAAGTGCAGTAGATAAAATATGGACAGTTCAATAGCATAGAATCTTTCCTGAACAGAAATGTTCTAGAGCTCAAATATATATATTGTTTTCATACTCTGCTTGCTTTGTACATACATACTTTATTGTTACAGCATCAAGCCATACATAAAACAAAATTGAATGCAGAGCTTCAAGTATTGACATATAATGCAAAAAGCCAAATCAAATAAACAAAAAGCAATAAAACTACAAATATAACAATATAAGACCAATGTACGGGTTTGGATATCTATTCTGGCTACTATGGCATGCCGCCCAAAATTTCACTACCAGTTCTGTAGTAGTCGATTTTGATCAATTAGCAATTGGTTACAGACTGTAACTCTGCTTTATATCATACTGCCTATGTAAATGTCTGCCCCAAAAAGATTGCTGACAAGAATTCTATTGGCATGGGTTCAGTGATTTAAATCCCAGCACTAGTTAATAAATTACTACTTAATCTCCCTTGTTGCCTACCCACTTACAGTAGGGGTAGGCAGCAGGGGATACTACGTATGACTTGTTCACTAGCAGCAATTTGATGCTACAGCTTATGTCATTGCACTTGCCCTGGCATAATTAACTATTGCTTTATTTCTGTAATAACATTTTTTGGACATGAAAAAATTTCCAAAATGAATATGTCCAGGAAATAAAAATGGGCACTGTACTGAGGAAAATCCACATTTTCTTCACTTTCACTCTTTTGTTTCAAAAAATAGGAAGTAGGAAGATCAAAGAATAATTAAGTAAAATGGGCCTACTTGAATATTGCAAAAAATTACTGTGACTGTGGAGTAATTCAGTCAGTGCAGCATTTATGTGCATGTGATTTCTGCCTCACCACATGTATTAAAGAAGGTCTAGTAAGTGGCTGAGATAACACTATTGAAATAGCCCACTTCTACATAAAAACAGCCTATTCATTTTAGCATTTTCAATTTGTTTGAACTTTATTTCATATATGACTATAATTTTAAATTGTGCAACACTCTGCTATTAACGAAGAGAGACCAAACTATGTAAACTTTTGTTTTGCATTTGAGATTTTCAGAGAAATTTTAGAACATTTTGGCAGGAATGAGGGAAGATTAGCTTTAAAAATTAAATGGGAAAGCTCTAAAAACTTTGGAATGCACTGTAGATTTTTATGCAAGCTGTAATAGCCCATAAATAAGGCCTATGATAGGGAGGTAGGAGATATTTAGTAAGATGTGTATATGTATATAGATGTTTTTAGTGCTTTGGCGTTTTTAGTGTTTTTAATGTTTTTAGATTGTTTTTAAATCTCCTAATTTAAATAATGTATCTTACTTTTGCTGGTCAATGACCATAATAAACATTTATTATTATTATCACTGTAGATTTAAAAAAAAATACTTGCACAGATGATGCCTGGATTATTAATATCTAACACCATTTTTGTTGTGCTTTTTAGATTTCTGTGCTGCCCTCATTTCATTTTCACTACTGATACTCAGTTTAATTATATGTAAATGCTTCCTTAGAATAAAAGCTATTAAGATGTTACTAATGTTCTTGAAAATAATCCAGAAAAATGACGTTATTGTCCTGATGTTCCTCCATTACTGGATCCATATCCTTTCATTTTTAAAGGAAATATTGCATGCCTCGGCCAACTTGCCATTCTTTGATCTTGCACAAATCTATTTGGTAATGTCATACATACTATGTCAGTTATTGGTCTATGTTTGTAAAGGCTCATGAGTGTAACTGGGTGTGTTCAGTGTAAGCAAAAAAACTGAGCACAGTCAATAGTGAATACACAAGGATTACTGTATAACTAGATTGGGTGTCACTCAAAGAGGGCTTCTTCTACAAACATTTCCTTAATGGCTATAGCCTTTCCCTCATAAATGGTATTGTTTTGTCCCAAACTAACTGAACTCCAACTAAGCTAAAAATTTAAACTCTTAAAACCCTAGTAACTCTATTACTAACCTGTCTTCTGACCTTCTTTCATAATGCCTAGCCAATGAGGATCCATGTTGGAAGGTATGTTTACCAACCCTTGCTATTAATACCACCTGTTTAATCTCTGCATAACTCATGTGCCATTGCCCCAGGCACCGGAGGGACAACCAAGGTGCTTCTTTGTAACTTTGTAACTCACACATATAGGATTTACACCTGCACAGAGCCACACTTGGAACAGAGCTGAATAGCTTTTGGTGGGAACCTTGGCCTTGCCCCAGCCCCTGCATGTGCCTTAGTAAAAATCCCTCACTTCCATTCTGTGTTACTTTACTAAAAACACAGGCAATGCAGTGATGGTGGGAGTCAATCACAGGTCCCGCACTCTCTTCCTTCTGCATCACACATAGAACAGAACGTTCGAACTGGCTGTTCTGTGTCTATATATATGCAGAATCTGTCTGGTTACCCTGGTATGCCTCTTCATTCCAGTACAGAAACAGAATGAACAGTTAGGATGATCCCATTTATAGCTGAATTCCATGCGGTATGGTCTTAATGGTCCTTTCAGCATGGAATATGAACATGGGACTCTGCTCAAGATCCGTTACTGCTGTTGGTGCATTAACTATTACTTTTGGTAAATAATTTAGGAATGAGTCCTCAGAGTATCAAAAACTAGTATGCAGTACAGCCAGAACTGTTGAACAACTATTTTTTCCTGGCTTTTGCCTTATTCATGGTAACTATTGACTAGGAAAACTACTGGCTAGATTTTGAGGGAAAATGCCAACTAATATGTTTGTTTCATTTCCAGATGTTTCTGTAAGTCTTGGCATTTGTCTCATAATAACATGTGAGATGCCACTTATCCAAAATGTTGTCTCCTTCAAACAGTCTCAAAATCGAAAGTGTTGAGGCTGGGATGTCTAAGGGGATAGGCTGATGAAATGTTGATAAGGCTTGGGAAGGTCAAGGGGGTGGTTGCAAGGTTTGGCAATATTTTGTAGAAGGATTTGAAGAAAACTTGCATGTAGTTTTAATACACAGAGGAATTATACCAGAAAGATCTGGATGTCCTGGACAACCCAGACAGTGTGGTTGCTGACCTTGAGCCAGACATCCTGGAGAGTGAAGTCAAGTGGGCCTTAGAAAGCGTGGCTAACAACAAGGCCAGTGAAGGTGATGGCACTCCAGTTGAACTATTTAAAATCTTGAAAGAAGACGTTGTTAAGGTGCTACACTCAATATGCCAGCAAGTTTGGAAAACTCAGCAGTGGCCAGAGGATTGGAAAAGATCAGTCTACATCCCAATCCCAAAGAAGGGCAGTACCAAAGAATGCTAGAAGTACCATGGTTACAGTTAGGTAACCTAACTTTCTGCTTCATTGACTACGTAAAAGCCTTTGACTGTGTGGACCACAGCAAACTATGGCAAATTCTTAAAGAAATGGGAATGCCTGACCACCTTATCTATCTCCTGAGAAATCTATATGTGAGACAGGAAGCAACAGTTAGAACTGGATATGGAACAACTGATTGGTTCAAAATTGGGAAAGGAGTACTGCAAGGTTGCATATTGTCTCCTTGCTTATTTAACTTAAATGCAGAATACATCATGCGAAAGGCCAGACTGGAGGAATCCCAAGCTGGAATTAAGACTGCCGGAAGAAATACCGTGGTGTCTCGCTTGACGACGTTAATCTGTTCCAGCGAAATCTCTGTTAAACGAAATTGTTGTCAAGCAAATTTTAAAAACCCATTGAAAACCTTTCAGTGCGTTCCAATGGGCTAAATACCTCATTGTAAAGCAAAGATCCTCCATAGGGCAGCCATTTTCCGGTGCCTGTATAGCGAGGAATCCATCCTAAAGCACAGCGGGGAGCCATTTTGCACAACGGGCGGCTATTTTAGAGTCTCCAATCAGCTGTTTGAAAATCGTCGTCTAGCAAAAAATCGGTTCCCGAAGCAGGGAACCGATCATCATGAAGCAAATTTTTCCAATTAGAACATCACGTCCTGCCAAATAGAAGGGGAAGATATGGAGGCAGTGACAGATTTTACTTTCTTGGGCTCCATGATCGTTGCAGATGGTGACAGCAGCCACAAAATTAAAAGACACCTGCTTCTTGGGTAGAAAGCGATGACAAACAGCATCTTGAAAAGCAGAGGCATCCCCTTGCCGACAAAGGTCCGCATAATCAAAGCTATGTTTTTTTCAGTAGTGATGTATGGAAGTGAGAGCTGGACCATAAAGATGTCTGACCACCAAATAATTGATGTTTTTGAATTGTGGTGCTGGAGACTCTTGAGAGTCCCCTGGACTGCAAGGCGATAAAACCTATCAATTCTGAAGGAAATCAACCCTGGTACTCACTCCTGAAGCTGAGGCTCCAATACTTTGGCCATCTCATGAGAAGAGAAGACTCCCTGGAAAAGACCCTGATGTTAGGAAAGTGTGAAGGCAAGAGGAGAAGGGACGACAGAGAACAAGATGGTTGGACAGTGTCATCAAAGCTACCACTCCGGGAGGCAGTGGAAGACAGGAGGGTCTGGCATGCTTTGGTCCATGGGGTCATGAAGAGTCGGACACGACTTAACGACTAAACAACAACAATAACAGCATGTAGCAGCAGCATGAGAAAACACAGCAGGAATAAGGGGGTCTTAAAAGTGGAAAAAGATCCTCAAATTCTGAAAACTACTCAGTACAGTTCAAAAATTCAGTTCAGAATCTGGTAGAGCAGAATGATATGACTTGCAATTAATCCATGGAGCTGAATTCTGTCCAGCAACCGTGTTTCGTGGTTTCATAAATGTTCCACTTTTTTAGTACAGGGAGCCAAATTGGTGTACAGTACTGTATTTTGCTTGTTGTGGATATTAAATTTTGGAAGTCTGTGTGTATGATGAATTGTACACCAAAATCCAGTAATTTCCTTCTAATATTTCTTGAAATATTATAATGTGAAGTATTCACCTTTTGTCCTGCAAAAGCCACAATAACAGATTGCAATGAGCTGCAAAGCTTATTAAAGATCTATTAATTATCCAAAGAATAGTTAATATTTGTAGTGGATTATCGTAGCACTTTAGTTTGAGTTGTTGTTGTCAAAAGCATTTTTATCTCCCTGTTTGCTTGCCAGATAAAATGTTTCCTGTTGTTGTGCTTACATTTAGCATGGCTGAAATTTCCTTCTTCCCATATGTAGTTGTAAACCATGTGCCTCTCTGGAGATCTGTTATAACAGCTGAAATGCAAAGCCATGATCAGTAATAAAAAAACTGAGTATGGGGATAATTTGTTACGACCATTTGTTTGATAGAGTTCTTACTCACCTCAAATGCTGTTATAGATATAGAAATCGCTCATTTGTTGCAACACAAATACTTATTTTTCTTCTTGTTGCTGTTTTGCTTTTCAAACAACCTGCAGAAAAATGTAGGCCATGAGCTCTAGTGGTTACAACCATATGTATTAATGTTGCACAACATAGAGAAGTACAAAGAAGTATTTTATTTTTTCATCCCATACTTATGATCTTTTAACTTAACACACATTCACTTTTTAAACCCAATCAGTGCTTGACATCCTGTTGTGCAGCTGCACATGTCCAATGGTAATAACGTCAGAAGCAGCAGCAGCAGCAAATCAGGATTGATTAAAGGCAAATCACCATGGACTAAAGGCAATTTAGACTTGTACACAATACAGCCAAGTTGCATGTACCCTGAAATAACCAAAGCAGCCTTTAATAAATGATGATTTGATGGTGATGATTATATCATCACTATTGCCATATGCAGAGCTGCGCAGCCAGTATGTTTCAAGACAAAATTAGCATGGGAAAATCACACTGATTTAAATAGACGTACACTTCCTGGATTGTGTTGAATGTGTAGAATTGACTTATCTTTGCAACAAACAGTATTTCTTAAAAGTATGGCATATGCATCAATAAATATTGTTTATACACTATTGTTAGTCCCTATTCCCTAGTGTCAGTCCTGGTTGAACACTGTGCCCATTTTGAATATGTTTTGCATTTTATAAATATGTCAGAAACCCCTTAAATTGTTACAATGAGTTGCTGGAATGGTTAGCAGTTGCTATAATTGTAACATCTCTGTAAAATGATAAAGACACTTGTGAAAATGCATGCATGGTCATTCATTTTGTAACATTTCATCCATTACAGATAGTGTTGTTAATCAAAAGACAAATACTTGTTTGCTTTTACATCCATGCAGGACAGATTATTGTAAAGTAAATGAATACAGCATTTTATGGGCAAACATCAGCCTTCAGCAATAAGGACACATGAAAATAAGAAAAGCTGGATCAGATTGATGTCTAATATTCTGTACCCCACAGATCAGATGCCTCTGAGCAGCCCACAAGTAGGGCATGAAGGCAATAGCTCTCACACATTGTTGCTTCCCACCAATTGTTATTCAGTGGCATACAGCCTTTGAACCTGGAGGCCATTATGACTAATAGCTATTGGCTCATTTTCTGTGCATTTGTTTAATACATATTTACAGCTGTCTGAGTCAGTGGCCATGACTTAAGTCTTGTGGCACCTATCTCTGGTCTATCCAGTATCTCTTGCCAGTTGGTTTCATTGAATAATCACACATTCTAGTGTTAGGAGGGAAGGAGAATAATGTCTTTGTCTACATTTGTTTATACATCTCTGCAATGCAGCCTCTGAACCACCCTTTTAAAAACAGGGAATGTCCTAAATGATGCAGCTTATATTTGTAAGGAAGGTATTCCATCTCTGATCATTTTGGTTGTTCTTACTGCACTTTTCTAGCTTTACAATATACTGTCTGAATGGAGATACTATAATACATTATTCTGTGCATGATTGCACCAGAGATTTGTATTACAGAAAAAGGTCACGTGGTCTAAAGATACCATTCACTCTTGCCTTCTCTTTGATCCCTTCCCTAACAATCCTTAGCATGTAGTCTGCTTCTCACAACTGCCATGCTGTCCAGTATGACACCAGGATCTTGTCCCAATTAGTCTCTATTAGTTCCATTGATGTACAGTATATTACAGAAGTGAGCACACCCCCTCACATTTCTTAAAAATTTTAGTGTATCTTTTCATGTGAAATGACACTTGGATGCAATGTAAAGTAGTGAGTATACAGCTTGTGTAACAGTGTCAATGTGCTGTCCCCTCAAAATAACGCAACACACAGCCATTAATGTCTAAACCGCTGGCAACAAAAGTGAGTACAGTGGTGCCTCGCTTAGCGATGTTAAATTCGTTCCGAAAAAATCGCTGCTAAGCTATTTCATCGCTAAGCGAAATGCAGTTTCCCATTGAAATGCACTGAAAACCGGATAATCCGTTCCAATAGGAACGAATTGCCGTCCTTAAGCGAAAATCGCCATAGGAAA